AGTCCATGAGACACATTCATTTTCTATACTATGGACTTCTTACCCTTGTCTTTTCAATCTTTAGTTGAAGGATGCCTCCGTGTAGAAATCCGAGACGAAACAACGGTGGGGAAGCACCGATACCACCACCACCTTCACCTCCTAAATTTGATGTTGTCATGTTCCAGGCAGCAGTCACCCCAGCTGTGGTAGCTACCATGTCACAGATCAATACCCTTGTTACTATTGGTTCAGGAATTGGCATACATTCTTCCAACCATGGCGATAGTCATGGGCAACCCCAGGAGTGCACCTATAAATACTTTACGAATGCTAAACCCTGGATGTTTAATGGAACGGGTGGTGTGATGATTTTAAGGCAATGGATTGAAACGACGGAATCAGTCTTTGAAATCTGCTCCTGCCCCGAGCACAGCAAAGTCAAATTTTGCAACTTACACACTTACGATAGAGCTTTAACTTGGTGGAATGGCCATGTTAAGGTACTTACGCTAATAGTGGCGAATTCAATAAGCTGGGAGAGCTCAAAAATCATGCTAATGAGGGAGTACTGTCCACGAGGAGAGATTCAAAAACTCGAGCACGAACTCTAGACTCTTGGAATGATTGGTACAGACATAGCAACTTATACCAATAGATTCTGCGATCTGGCAACCCTTTTCCCAGGTATGATTGCTCCTGAGAGCAAGAAAATAGAGAGATACATTTGGGGACTGTCGCCCCAAATTCAGTCAAGCGTGTTAGCTTCAAAACCTGAAACTTTTGAAAGTGCCAAAGAGCTGGCACAATCGCTTATTGATCACGGAAATCATCAGAACTCAACAATTTCTGCACCAAAACCACAAAAGGGAAACAACAACAATAACAAGAAGAGAGGATGGAATAAGGGGAAGGGTGGGTCTTCCCAATAATCCTCGAAGAAACAACAACTAGTTACAGTGAATGTTGCTACTGTACCTACTACCGTTCCTACAAATCTCTACCCAACGAAGCCTTATGTGGGCAACCTTCCAAAGTGCACCAAGTGCAATTACCACCACAATGGACCTTGTCGAGAAATGCAGTGCTCCAACTACAACAGAAAGGGACACATTGTCCGTTTCTGCAAGGCCCCCGTAAAGCCGATCACTCAAGTTCCTAATGTTGGTGTAGGCTAAGCGTGCTACGGTTGTGGCGAGGTGGGCCACTACAAAAAAAACTTCCCGAAGGCAATGAATACCAGTGGAGTGGGACGAGTTTTGGCTATTGGTCACGAAGAAGCCGTAGCTGATCCTACAGTAGTTGCTGATATGTTTCTTCTCGATAATTCATATGCATGCATACTATTCGATAGTGGAGCAGAGAGAAGCTTCGTGAGCAAAAACCTTATTCACTTACTTAAACATAATCCTAGCATGTTAGAAGAATCATTAACTGTAGAAATGGAAAATGGAAAAACGGAAAACACTAACTGCATATACATGAGTTGTACATTAACTTTAGACGGCCACTCTTTCCCAATCAACCTCATGCCAGTCCAAATTAAAATTTCTGACGTCATAGTCGGCATGGATTGGTTAGGTCTTCTTTGCGCCGACATCATGTGCTTTGAAAAAATCCGTTCGTCTAAATCTCCCTAACGATGAAACATTAGTGATTTACAGCGACAAATCAAGTACAAACCTTCGCATCATTTCGTGCATCCAAGCTCGAAAGAGTTTGCGGAAGGATTATCATGCATTTCTTGCACACATCGTTGATACGAGTCAGCAAGTAAAGGATATTAACAGCATTACAGAAGTACGCGACTTCCCCGATATCTTTCCAGAAGAACTACCCGGATTACCACCACAATGTCAAGTCGAGTTCAGAATCGACATAGTTCGAGGGGCTACCCCAATAGCAAAATCGCCTTATCGTCTGGCACCAGCAGAGATGCAAGAACTTTCTAGTCAGCTTAATGAACTCCACCAAAAAGGATTCATTAGACCAAGTTTCTCAGCTTGGGGAGCACCTGTCTTGTTTGTAAAGAAGAAAGACGGATGGTTACGTATGTGCATCGACTACCGAGAGCTAAACAAACTTACTGTCAAAAATCGTTACTCTCTGCCCCGCATTGACAACCTATTTTATCAACTTCAAGGAGCGAGCTACTTCTCGAAGGTAGATCTACGATCCGGATATCAACAATTACGAGTGCTAGAGGAAGATGTTCCCAAGGCAGCCTTCCGAACCCGTTATGGACACTACGAATTTGTAGTGATGTCGTTCGGATTAACCAACGCACCAGCGGTACTCATGGACCTAATGAATAGAGTGTGCCATCCTTACTTGGATCAGTTCGTCATCGTAAGCACCTACGAAGAGTCTTAGAAACACTACGATCGTAGAAGCTCTATGCAAAGTTCTCTAAATGTGAATTTTGGATTCGAAGAGTCGGATTTTTAGGCCACGTTGTTAGCGAAAAAGGGATACATGTGGACCCCTCCAAAATTAAGGCCATTAAGAACTGGTCGGTGCCGAAGACAACTACAAAGATTCATCAATTTCTAGGTCTAGCTGGCTACTATTGCAAATTCATAAAGAACTTCTCTAGAATTGTGAAACCTCTTACTACATTAACCCAGAAAGGCGTGGACTTTGACTGGGAAGCAAAACAAGAGAAGGCGTTCCAAACACTGAAACAGGCCTTGTGCACCGCACCGATACTATCCCTCCCTAAAGGGATAGAAGACTTCGTAGTGTATTGAAATGCATCAAATCAAGGACTTGGTTGTGTTCTTATGCAAAGAGAGAAGGTTATTGCCTATGCCTCCCGTCAGCTTAAGATACGCGAAGTAAACTATACAACACACGATCTTGAATTAGGAGCAGTGGTATTTGCTCTGAAGATCTGGAGACACTACTTGTATGGAACAAAGAGTACTATTTACACCGACCATAAGAGCGTTCAACACATTTTCAATTAAAAGGAGCTCAACATGCGACAATGATGATGGGCTGAGTTACTCAATGATTACGAATGCGAAATTCGTTATCATCCTGGCAAGGCCAATGTAGTAGCTGACGCCCTCAGTCGAAAAGAATACACTGGTCGGAGAGTCAAATCTCTGAATATGACTATCCATTCCCACTTATCCACACAAATTAAGGAGGCTCAACTGGAAGCTTTGTAACCTGAACATGTGATGGGTGAATCCCTGAGAGGAATGAAAAAGAATCTAGAAATCAAGGGTGGCAGAGCCTATTATCTCATGGACCGTATCTGGACACCAAGACATGGTGGTTTCAGAGATTTTGTCATGACCGAAGCACACAACACGAGGTATTCCGTTCACCCAGGTTTAGATAAAATGTATCTGTATCTTAAGAAACTGTACTGGTGGCATAACATGAAAGCAGAGATTGCTACCTTCGTAAGTAAATGTTTTATTTGCGCTAAGGTTAAGGTCGAGTACCAAAAACCTTCAGGATTACTACAACAACCGGAGATACCGGAATGGAAATGGGAACAGATTACTATGGATTTCATAACCAAGTTGCCCAAGACAACGGGTGGACTTGATACCATATGGGTCATTGTCGAGAGATTGACCAAATCCGCGCATTTTCTACCAATCAAGGAGACTAACAAGATGGAAAGGCTTACAAGAACTTACATAAGGGAAATAGTGCAATTGCATGGTGTTCCGATGTCCATTATCTCTAATAGAGACAGTAGATTTACATCAAGGTTCTAGCAGTCACTACAAAGTTCCTTGGGGACTAGACTAGACATGAGTACGGCCTACCATCCACAAACAGACAGGCAAAGTGAGAGAATGATACAAACTTTGGAAGATATGCTGAGAGCCTGTGTGATTGACTTTGTAAAGGCATGGGATATCCATTTACCCCATGTCGAACTTTCATACAACAATAGTTATCGTACGAGCATAAAGGCAGCTCCATTTGAAGCCCTCTATGGTCGTAAGTGCAGGTCCCCTCTGTGTTGGACTGAAGTTGGCGACACATAGTTAGCTAAAGGACAAGATACTGAAAACACTCTCATCGGTCCGGAAATCATACGAGAGACGACAGAGAAGATCGTTCAGATTCGTGAACAGTTGAAAGCATCTAGAGACCGACAGAAAAGCTACGCTGACCAACGGAGGAAACCTTTGGAATTCCAAGTAGGAGACTGCGTTCTATTGAAAGTCTCACCGTGGAAAGGTTTAGTACGCTTTGGAAAGCGTGGAAAGCTAAATCCAAGATACATAGGGCCTTTCGAGATTCTTGCCAGAATCGGTCCTGTAACTTACAAACTTAATCTACCACGTGAACTTAGTAACATACATCCAACCTTCCATGTATCGAACTTGAAAAAGTGTCTGTCCGATGAGACTCTTGTTATCCCACTCGACGAGACCGAGATCAACGAGAGCCTCAACTTCGTGGAAGAACCGGTAGAAATCATGGACCGAGAGGTCAAACAAACGAAACAAAGTCGCATACCCATCGTGAAAGTTCGCTGGCATGCCAAGCGAGGACCTGAACTCACATGGGAACGCGAAGATCAGACTAAACAAAAGTACCCACATCTTTTTCTCTAATTGACATGTATCTTTCTTACTTTAAATTTCGGGACGAAATTCCCTCTAACAAGGGGATGATGTGACAACCCGATATTTCAACTCTATGTAACGACCTAAAAAGTCAAGTATTGTAACCACGTTTGTTATAATGAAATTAACTTCGAAAATAAAATATCCAAAAATCACTAATTAAATTACCTATTATGTTAGATGTCATTAAACTGTGACCGTACGTAAAAAGAACGCCCAAATCTGTCTTCGTATAAGGAAGTTATGAATTTTCCAAGTTCGGCTTAGCAACGGACAGCTAAAAACTCGAAACGGAGGTCGAGCGACTTTTGACCAGAATGACCTAAATGAGAATCGAAGGTCTCGACAATGGTTTTTCAACGGTAAAAAGTCTGGCAAAAACAGACGTCAGATAATGAAGTTATAAATTTCTATTTAATGAATTTGAATCTTTGGTCAGCAACACCTATTCACGATGGAATGAGGACACCTATGTGTGACAGAGCATGGAATCCATACGTACCCATGAGTCCTGCCAGGTTTGTAGCTTGCTACCTGTCTTTTCTTATTCATAAGACATGATATCATGATTGTTTAAACCAAAAAACAAGAGAATTTTGACATGGATTATTTTGTTTAGGGAATCTTGGGAAGATGGAAACCTTGGTTCTTGGGGAAGCAGTCCTCAGTATCAAGTGAGCACTAGTGTCACTCTTGTCCCTCCCTCCCTTTGGTTAATTAATAAAAGCGTAATGATTATAATAAATATATGAATTGCAGCCGGGAAGCCCTCGTTCAAGAGCATATGAAGCACTAACTCCAGGTTCAAGATGGGCCAATAGTCCTTCTGGTGGAAGTTACAGTGAAGCTGGCACACCAAGGGATAATATGGATAGGGATACTACCCCTGCCTCCTATGGTATGCTAAAACGTTTTTTCTCTGTCATTATGTTAATTGTGAGTTAAGTTATGGATAGGATATATCATGTGGCGTGTAATTGCAGGTAATGCTCCAAGGCCTTACTTGCCATCAAAACCTAGTGGACAGCCGCCCATGACACCAAGCTCAACATATTTACGTGGTACACCAGGCGGCCAACCAATGACTCCTGGTGTTGGTGGCTTGGATATGATGTCACCTGTAGTAGGTCAGTGTATGTTGTAAATTGTAATTGTATACCAATGGATTCCTTATAATTAATATTAATATATTAGCATTTGTGTTTGTGCAGGTGGGGATAACGATGGACCATGGTTCCTACCAGACATATTGGCGAATGTACGCCGATCAGGTGAAGATGTTGTTGTTGGTGTCATCCGAGAAGTGCTTCTGGTTGGTATTGTGTGTTGTGAATAAATATGTTTTTTAATTATATGAATATGATTAATATTGTTGGGGTATGTTTCCGGATGGGGCATGTCGAGTAGCTGTTGGTGGGGATGTCATCACTGCCAGCCCAAACGAGATGGAGGTGGTAGTGCCAAGGAAGTCAGACAAAATAAAGATAATGGGTGGACCCCAGCATGGGGCCACAGGGAAGCTCATTGGTGTGGATGGCACAGATGGAATCATTAAAGTGGATGACACTCTTGATGTTAAAATATTAGATATGGTCATTCTAGCCAAGTTAGCACCGCAACATTAATTCCTCTTCCTCACCATAAGTTTTGAAACCTCCCTACCTTCCTCTCTCCCTCCAGGCTTATACATTATGATTATATATTTTGGCTTATATATGACTGACTTGACTATCAGTATTCAGTAGTAGTAAGTAGCTAGCAAGCCCCCTAAATACACACGTTTCATTTTGTTTTGTTGGTTAGACGAGTTCATTCCATTTGTTCAGTTATGTTGAAAACACACCACATGACAAGTTCTAGTGTGATTTGAACGGGATTAAGAACCAAAAATAAATGTTTATCATCTTTGTGTAAAATGTATATATATGGGAGATCATGGATGGGATTGTTATAATGCTACGGTGTCGATCAAAGGCACAGGCAAGTGATGATGAGAAAAGGGGGTCTCATCCTTAAGATCCATCGATTCTTCCCACTGCCTGTGTTATGTTTATCGAAACCAAAACCAACATTGGCCCAATTGTGTTTTTAGTGCTAGACTATCACTTCTTGAGCTCGACAAGAAGGTGAGTCACATTTTTTATTCTTTAAATAATTTTGTCACCTTCTAACTCAATGTAAGACCTGTGTTTCTGGGTCTGTCATTAATGATGATATAATAGTCTAGGTTAACCTTTGTAACCCGTTTTGAAATAATAGAAGTGTATTATTTGATTATTATGTGTTTTGTGCTTAATTGATTAATTATGTGGTTTGATTAATTAAGAATAAAAATAAGCGTCAAAATTTAAGTATAAAATAAACTTGATATCTTTGGATAATGTTGTAGTAGTTGAAACAAGGTTTCCGAAGATATAAAGAATGCCGAAATCCGAGTTATAACAAAGAAGTTATGACCTGTCGAAGTATCGCGACAGAACCGGCAACGCTAAATGACGTAAAAAGTGAAATTTACATTAGAACGATATTTAGCCTTAGTGATCTAAACGAGAATCGAATATCTCGTTGTTGGTATCGAAGCGATAAAAAGTTAGGCGAGAACGGACATCAAACGACGAAGTTATGAATTTATAACGAAATTTTCTGTCCCAGCCTATTAAAAATAAATAATAAAAATAAAGTCAAAATTAGCCAACGGAGTCTAAACAAAAGTTGTAGAGCGTAGTCTCACCTTCGCGTGGATATAAAGAACGTCGAATACGGAGTTCGTATGATGAAGATATGAATTTCCGAAGTTTATTAAATAATTTGTATTTAAATTTAATCTTTAATTCCGGTATTATCCGAGGACGGGTCATCGGACTCATCCGAAGTACGCCCCACGTACTCGCGTACGCCCTGCGTAGATCGAGGTATGTCGACATTCGCACTCGAGTTCTTCGGTACGTAAGCAATGACGTTTCGGAGAAGTACGCCCCGCGTACTCCGAGGCTCCAGCCTCCTATAAATAGGATGCGAGGCTGCCGAGTTCTTCTGCTATTTTTCTCTCTTCTCTCTCCCTTTTTGCATCGATTTGCATGCCAGAAGTACCCCGAAGCCCCGGTAATATTCCCGAGCCCCGAAGCAAGTCCCGAAGCCCGAACATCCCAAGAAGTGCGATTTCCGAGTCGAAGCTCTGTCCGCGAGAAGTTCGATTTTTGTAGAGATCTTCCAGATCTGCTGAGGATTACTACTTTTACAAGCCGTAGTGCTGTCCGATCATCTTCTGATCAAGTGAATGTGTAGTTACTTTCTTCTAATGCATAATTATGAAGTATTTTATATGAAATACGTGTTATGTGTATAATTTTGTTTTATGTACGTGAATGTATATTCACTCTCTTCAAGCTCATAGATCTGATTTGTTTTCTATAAAAATACGTGTTATGTGGGTATGCCTCATCTGTTATGTGAAATATGTATTGGATGAAAATGCTATACAAGTTTTTAAACTATGTATAAAAATATATATTTTTATCTACTAATCTGTTGGGTAGAACATGGGTAGATAGTTGGTGTGTAATAAATAGATGAGAGGCCTCGATGTTGTTGTTGTTGACCTAGTTATTCAGCGGAGTATGGATAACGACCACAGACTCCTTCTAGACAGTCTCGTGGAACGCTAGCAGGTTCATAACCTGTAGGTGTTGTAAACGATGTGTTCACCGGTGTACTCTATCCCCCTTATGGTTGTCTTTAGGATATCTATTGTTTAGGAAACCCCTTAGCAGTAATGTCTGTCCCGATGAAAATCCTAGATTAGATCCCTTGAGATAGATGTTGTTTTAGGGACGTAAAGTGAGGATAACGGGAATGGGTAATCGGGATAGTGATTGGTTGGTGAAATTAAATATAATTTGTTTATTGTGGGTTGAAAACCCTATATGCTCACCAGGCTCCCAAGCCTGACCCACTCAGTTTTATTTGTATTACAGGAAGTGGCGCAAGGGCGTAAGATGGATGAATCATCGAGTTGTTTTGTTTACAAGTCTCTATTTGTATATATTTGTTGAATGACTTGTAATGTTATCGTTTATGCTTTATGGTCTGTATCGGAACATGACATCCTGAGTTTTGATTATATAATAAAAATGCATCTCTTGATGAAATGCTTTGATAAATATTATTTTATCATGTTTTGTTTTGGGAACAAATTCCACAACACTTTTAAATCAAAAGGATTTACTCTGAAATTATTTAAAAAGCATAAATGAAATCGGTCTTTTCTGGCTGTGATTTTGGGGATGTCACACTCAAAAATCTATTTAACTAATGGTAATGTCTCTTCTTTTTCCTCTCATAGCAAAGAGTGGATGTTAAAGCTTTGAATACAGATTGATCTTAGTACAGGTCTTATGTCTTGGTTCAATTATTAGTTTGGTCCGGAATGGCCTTAAATGTGAATTGAACAATTTTTAAATAAAGTTAATTTATTTATTTATTTATGATAAAGTTTTATATTTATATATTTTAAATAATAATAAAAAAATCTGTAAATTCAAGATCACTCAAAGGTTTGGCGCCTCGCACGACAAGCAAGGGGCAAAATGGGCAAAGAAAAATCTTGACTGCAGTTTTCAACTTAGCAATGTTGGCGAGATCTGGAAATTTGGGGATTTTCATAGATTCTCAAGTGCTGTATTTAAGAACCCTGGCATGGAGTCTATTATAGAATCTATAATTTGTGTATTCATAACTTTTGATTAAAATGGTGATTGATTCAGCATCGATTAGTCGGTGCTCTGCATAACACCAGAAGATCTACAAAGACTGGTTCAGTGTATTCAGGTTTCTTTTATCATTCTTTATCTTCTTCATTTGGTTTAACTATTTTTTATTCAATGCAGGTAGTTTTTAAAACCTTTTAATTGATAACTGATTCCCAAATCACATAGGGCCAAGTTACAAACTGGCCATGATCATTGACAAGATAGTTGATTTGATTTGATCGTTGACAAGCGGCACATTGCCTGAATTTGGGTCAGTTTTCAAACGCGAGCCATATGAGGTTGAATATCGGGCCCCACTTCCTGTGAATTCGAATAATCATCTTAGGATTCCTGGTCAAACTAGGTCAATGCAATTACACACCTCTAGAAATCACCCGGAATGGACTGGTGGAGGAAGGTGGTCCTAAAGTTGAACTTCAAGTAACATGTACAAGTGGTTTGGTTTGATCATTATTTTATTTAAACAAGGTTTAGGAAGTCTTTAATAGTTGATGATGTATTATTGTTTAATGGACTTGATCCATGCTCAGGAGTCATGCCTTGCAAGTGAAATAATAATACAATGTTGGGTTTTTTTGTTATAATAATGAAACTAATCATATTTTACTTACTATTATGAAAGTTGGGCTACTAACGAATCGGTATATAAGGGCATAATTATAATCTTCTATATTTTGTAAATTTATGTGTCTGATATATAATAATACTTTGTTTCTTTTTTCTTCACAATAACAGTTGAGGCAAAAAGCACTTGCGGATTTACTAAAGATGCAATCAGTTCATGTAAGTTAAAATTCTAAATTTATTGTAGAGTTATTAGATAATTATTATTATCTATTTAGTTAGGAATTGTTTCCTGATGCTTCTCTTCCCCCATGTTGTGATGGATTGGAAAAAAAATTGTTACCTGTTGTAGATGGTCTTCTTATGGTTTATTTATTTATGATATAATGGGGATGATTATGATAGGAACGGGGTCTTCTTGGACATCTGGAGTGAGACGAAGCAGCAGAATTAAAAGGAGGCCTTTGGAATATTGGAAAGGAGAAAGACTCTTATATGCTCGAGTCCATAACAGTAAGTGCACATTGCACTTCGTTTTTAACATATCTTATTTTTTATCACTTGACATAAAACATTGAAGTATATATATATATATATATATATATATATATATATATATATATATATATAGTAATTATGGAATGAGGTAGCTATTTTATGTGAAAAAAATGTGGATGGGTTGGTTGCAGGCCTGCCTTACTACTTGTTGGCTTTTGTACATGTAACTAACAAGCAATCTTGGATTGGGGTTTCGTGAATAGGAGCTGGGAAAAATGGGCATGTAAAAATGTTGGTTTTGATGGTATGCAATCACATTCCACTTCTAATTTCTTGCTTTTCACAATAATTATGTATGTATATATATATATATATATTATAGTATAAAAACTATAGAATGTGTTCGGTAGTGAATCTCATAGGGACAAAATGGTAAATCTGCAGGTGGTTCAATCAATGTCATTTAGTAATATTTGGAATTACAGCCTCTATAAGTTTGACTAAAACCTTCTGATTTTGTTTACGTTTTAACTTTGTTTTTTGTTTCATTTAGTAATAAAGTATCAAATATCAACAATTATGTGGTAGTAATCCTTCTGAGGGGGTGGTTGTTGGGCTACTTCTTTC